TTTTTTATTTCTTGTCCTTTGATGCTGCATTCTGTCAATTATTTATGTCGGTTAGAAATGTGTTTAAAATTATTTGCTGAATTGCATTGCTTTATTTTTGTTGGTATTCACAGTGATAGGCAAATCTGAGAATTCTTTTATGAAATCATGCTGTAATTACAGATAGCATTTTTCAGCACAAAACTGTGTGCAGTGCTTTTGCTCAGACCATTATTTTTCTGGAAGCCTTCCAGCACAATGAACAGGTTTCTGAGTAAGGATACAATGTCTTTGGTTCATAGAAAACAAACAAAACACTAGTACCTTGTCCTTTTTCTACCTCTCCCTCTTCTCTCCCTCTCTCTCCCTTTTGTTTGTTTGGTTTTTTTGGTTTAAAGGCAACCTTTGTTTTGCCTGAACTATTGATAGAGACAGTGCGGAAGGAATTTAGTTAAACAAAGTTATGAAAGGGAAGACGCTATTTTGTAGTATCATAAAAATAAGTGTTGGTTTCAGCATTAAGAAATTGAAAGTGGGGAAAAAATATTTGTGTGCTGATGGCATCTGTTTTGAAGCTATCGGTCCAGACAGGTTTTAATGATGGTATTGCAAAAATCTGTCTGTCAATTAGATATAATTTTGTGTACTGTATGTAGAACTTGATATGTATAAGACACTAAGTTTTCTTTTGAGGTACTAAGCATCTTACATTTTAGTGACTTTTTAGATTATTTTTGAAAAGCTTACCATGACAAAGATCAGGTCATGTAATGCCTTAAAATATTCTGTATACCCAATTAGCAGGAGTGGGTGATTTACAGAGAGAATGCTTTATATCAAGAGTATAGTATATGGCCAGGAAACACAAACACTGAAGTAAAATCTGGAGAGTTTGCACTGACCACAGACAGCCATGTAATTTTAAAAGCTGTGTGAGCTCTCAAGCACAATTCTTTATCCTTTATTTGTAAAGTGATTGCATCAGCTTGATTAAAGGCTTAAGCCTTTCAATGAGAGGTACACTAAATAGGAGAGCAGTCTAAAACATTTTATTTGTTTATTTATTTTTTGCAACAGTGTGTCCATGCTTGTATCAGTCATGTTTTTTTCATGCTTCTTCAGAATCTTTCCAAAGGGTCGTCAACAACTTGCTTAACCCAGTATTTCAGCCTGATAGTTATGCACTTTACATGTAGTACTGAAAGATTTCATAAAACAATTGTCAGTATTTTGTTATTACTCTTTTTAAAAAAAATACAATAAAGCAAGTTTAAAGTCAACCAAGACAACAAGTCTTAGTTGGTTTAATTTCCCCTTAAGGGGGTATTCATCCATTAAAAAGTAAAAATATATTTTTTCCTGTGCTCTTCTGACAATTATTTCTGTGTGTATTTGTTTTGTTTTTCCTTCCCTGTTTTGGGTATTCTGTTGCTGGTAACAGAAGATAGCATGTTCTTAATTCTAGTCACTAAACATTTTTTGTGTGACATGAATACCTTTGATAGTGAACCATGCACTTCAGTAAATAGAGTGAAATATCAGAAAGATTCCTCATTTCAAAACTCTGGGTAAGTAAGACACTTTAAGTATGAATTCATTCTAAATGAAGAGATTTTTCTGCTTATCCTTGTTCCATACAGCATATTGTAGAAGGTAAATGGAACATAAGCCTTCCTGTATGTTTAATACTTGCTCTCATCAGTACATAGCTCCGATGTTGTGGGAAAAATTGCTTATACTTTGTCATTATCAGAGCCGCAATAAAAGCCAAATTCACTATCATTACTTCATCAAGCAGAATTAGCTGTTTTCTAATGTACTGTCACTGAAAACTTTTGATCCCTTGACTATTCAGTTTAGAGCAGACAAATAGTTATATTCAATTTATATATAATTTTACATCTTTTGATATGAAATATCTGAAGCAATATTTATGCTTGCTTCTCTCTCCTGAGAGGAAATTGATTGAACTGAAATGAGAATATTTGTCCTTCTTTGGTATTGTGTGTTGTGACTTAAGCTAATGTCACTCATGACTTCAGCTGCAAGCAAGCACATATGCTGTGTCTGCTTATGCCATCTAAATTTTACTGTTAGTTCATTACATGTTTGTCAGCGGTTATGAACTTTTTACTAGTAGAAGTCAATGAGAAAGATAAAGTCTTTCTTGAAAACAAGATCAAGTCATTCCTTTTCTTATGTCTCTGAATATGATGATGAGGTACATCACTTGCATTTATTTTAATTCCAGACTGATTTAAAAAATCCTCTTTTCAGGGAATAGCAGAAGAACGCTAATTTGTTTTATCTCTCAAGCTCCAAAACATAAGCTTTTTCACACAGTTGGTGTTAGCTTCAGCTGACGTATTGTTGTGGATAGCTTGTTCTTAATGAGTAATTTTCTGTAACTTTCAAATGACATCTGTATTTTGCATGTATATGTAAGTTCTCAGCTGCTCAAGGTAAATTCTCGCTGATCCCTTGAGTTGTTAACATACACTTGAGCATGCTGAATGTTCCTTGGAATATATCCCAAGCCTTGACAGCTGCAGTGTTTTTCCAGTGCCAAATTCAGACAGGCTATGCACCCCTGTTTCAGAAGAAACTGTGTCCCAAGACTGTTCAGGGAACAGCCTTACCAAAGCTTGCCATTAATTGTGCCTAAAGTTTACAAAGGATATGTAATTTTTTTTGTCTTAAAACTGTAATAATTATTGTAGTACTTATAGTACTGCTTTCACTATAATAATAACACTTTTACTTGAAACTATTTTTGTTATTGAAATGTTGGGCATTTTAAAGTAACTTTTACTTAATGGTAACTTTGGCCTGCCTACTTTCTATACAGTTTTATACTTTAAAAATTAGAAACCAAGATCTTTTGTATGTATCAAAACTTTTCCAGAAGTCTTTTAGGCATCCTCATAATATGTGGAGAATAATGGTTACATGTTAAGATGGTTACAACTATATTTTCTATTTCTTCACTGTTTAAGTTCTTCAAATCTGTAATTCAGTTACAATATTTTTATGTGGCTGTTGTGCTCTTGATCTGGATTAAGTAAATTATTCCAGAGAATGAAAAGATTACTATGATCATGTCTTCAAGAGAGTTCTAGTTGCAAAGAGTTTAGTCTTAATAATTCTATAGAGACAACCATGGTTATAATTATTTGTAACTTTTTTCTTCCCTGAAGTTAAATGAAGATACAGTTAAAATCTTTGATATTATGTGGATCTTGAGAAACTTCCTCTGTCTTCAGAGAGAGCTTGTAAGGAGAAAACCCTGTAGCAAATGGTCTTGTAGTTCCCATCAAAGAGGGTAGTAATCTTGCTTTTGACAAAGCAGGAACCTTAGGGTGAAGTGGTTGGCATGGACTGAAACTAATATTGATTTTATTTATTTATTTTTAAAGCTCTAATTGCTTCATAAAGGCAAAACTGATCAGGCAAAAAAGGAAAGAAAGCATAGCAAAAACAGAAAATGCAGCTTCTCCCGAGTTTGGCTGTAATTGGATGATTTTGTGCTTAAATTGTATTGACTCTTCTGAGGTTTGTCAAACTTGCAGTTCTGTAGGCTGCTTTATTTCTTAAAAGGCCACTGCTTTTAGCAGCTTCTAGTCATGGACTCATAGTACAGTGTTGAAAGAAACAATTTTTACTTATTTATAAAAGGTATGAAGTTGTGAAAGAAGAAATTAAGTGGGAAATCTATGATCATGCTGAACAGTGGAGGTAAAGATAGTAACTCATGTCTTCTATCTCTTATGATACTGAGGATTGACATAAAGCTGTGTAAAGAGGAGATACTTTGATGTCTCTCTAGCTAACTTTAATGAGGCTGTAATTAATGAAAAACTAATACGTGGTATCTCAGTAAATTGTGAACTTACAGGAGTTTGGGAGGAGGAGGCTGAGAAATTGATGGCCATAATGTGACTTTTCCTTTTAGGTAATAATTATCCTGTAATGTAATATATATTGTCCCGTTATATCTCTTATTAGGATTTAATAGTGAGTAGCAGGTATAGTAGTCTACACTTTCATAATGTCTTTACCTGTTTAATAGAGCTCACTACCAATATGATATTTATGGCTTATTAATTTCTATTTTGATGTTAGACTGTGTTAAGCTGATTTGGTCATTCCATGTGTCCATGTGCTTTGTTGTTACTGTCTTCATATTCTGTTGATTTTTTATATTAGTATTTCTGCATTTCTGTGTGATGTATAAATTCTGTGTTTTTTTGTTGTTTTTGTTATTTATAATGTAACAGCATTTATTATAAATTATTCTAGTAATGTAACTCTTCATTTAAAAATAATATAGTGCAAGATATTTACTTCGATATAGTAGGAAACTTTGAAAAGCCTTTATTTTATATTTAACTTTCACAAACTTTCTTGTGTGTAATTATGAAGAAAGATCATTGTTTTCTTGCTCTGATTTAGGAATCTTATCACAAGCTTTCATGTGATGTAGGTTAAGTGAGTATACTGGAAGACGGATTTACTGCCTACTTTAAAGTAAAATCAAAGAGCCCCAAATGATAGATTCTTTTTTTTTTCTGTTTTGCTTTAATTTTGAAGATTTTTTTTTCTAATGAGGAGAAAAACAGTGCCCAAGCTTAATTCTGAAGCATGTGTTTCCAACTCCTTATTCCTTACTATAAATTGTATAATACTGCTAGAATTACTAGCAGTTGGTGCAGCAAAAGGCAGCCTTATACTGTCTTGACTGATGCTGCCTTATGTCATATTGCATATTCTTACTGTTCGTTGTTAGTATTTGTCTCCCTTCTAAAATTTTGCATAATTAAAACTTTTCTTAATAAAGAGAACTAATTTCCATGTTTTTAATTAAAAGCAAGCAAGTAATCTGTTACAGTTCTCACTAAAATGGAGGTGTGTGTGAGTGTGAGTTTTTTGTTTTATTTTTTGTCTTTTTTTCCACTTCCCTTCTGAACATGCATACTGTAGCATACCTGTAATGTATTTTTGTTTTTGTTCCTGTTTTTAAGGCTGATAAAGAGTTTGTATGGTCTTTGTGGAAACGTCTTCAAGTGTCAAATCCAGATATTACACAAGCAGTCAGCTTAATTGTGGAAAGGTGAGTAATTTTTAATTTAGAAAAATGCATATTTTAAATACTATTATAAAAGTTTGTGTTCAGTTTTTGTCAAGATGAGCTTGATGTCAGTTTTGCGTGTTGTACCTCTTACAAGTTGAAATGCTTCATGCTTTAAAAGTATATTCACTGAGGTTTTTATGCTGGCATTGAATTCACTCTTTAAACAAATGATGAGTATATTGCATATTAACAGTTTGTATCCTGCACATAAATGAATATTGTGCCACAAAATGCTACAAATTTTATGGTGTATATAAACAAATTATAAGTATATGATTCTTCTACTGAAATAGCAAAAAGAGGTAAATGAAGTATTCTAGTTTCATAAGAAGTCAGATTAACACTTATGTTTTTCACTTGTGTATATTAACATTAAAAAGTCAAAGCTTCAGAATTCGTAAGATAAAAGCTTGCCATGCAGTTTAGATTATATTCCTCAGAGGATATTAATGGTAATTTCCTCATGGCACTTATCTATTAGCATCTGATTACTACAAGTATTAATTAATCATCACAGTGTGTCATTGATAGTTTTTTGAATGTTAATATTTACATATATATATATGTATATATATATTTCTTGATGTGGGGGTAAGGTAGGGGAAAACATGAGTGAATTGATACTGTACTGCCATAGCACTTAATCACTTGGTTATATCTCTTAGGTTGCCTTTTTTTTTATCTTCTTTAAAGAAAAATGCGGACTTTACCAAGATTAGTTGTGAAGTTTGTCATAAAAGCAGGAGGGATTCTAATTCTTTTGGGTTTCTACTTACTGCTTTAAAATCAAAAGGCATCTTTTATGTCATATCTTTGTGTTCTTGGCTTGATTAGTTAAAATTCTTCAACTTTTGGAGATAGAGTGCTGGTAATTTGTCTTGGATTACATTTGCATTACATTAGTACTGTCCCATCTTCTGTCCATCTTCTGCATTGCATGAAGCAATGAAAATTTTGCCAATAAAATAGGATGTGATCATGTAATTAAAATGCACGTTCTAAAGCATTTTTATCGTGTGGAAGAAATAAGTGCTGCAAGCATGCAAAGCTCATGTTAAAGCAACAGTTACCTGAGGATTCAGATGCAGTCATAAGTGGTGGTAACTTTGGCATCTGTAGCTAGACACTCACCTGCAGAGGAAATAGTAATTTGACCCTGTGGTCAGCCCTTTATGTACTACCTTGACATTGATTACATGTTACAGTTTTGTAGTGTGGAAGAATTGTTTGAAAGAGGGAACGGAGAGGAAAACTAGGGCCTACCAGAAGTTTTGGCATGAGAGAAGCTTGCTTGGGGTGATACATGGTTGCCACTTCCAAAATGATTGGTGCATGCAGACTCTGCTCCTCCACAGTTCCTGAGGCAGCACAATCTGCCCTCCTCGCAGCTGTAAGGGGGAATAACGGAGGATGGAGCTGAGTGAAGACACCGCGGCCAAACTCTGTTGCACTCCCTGTGCTGGGCCGCTGATAAGCTGCACAGTGCCTATCTAATGGGAGATATACGACTTCTGCAGATTTCTTCATACCGTACTTTTCCTTGGCACTCTTGCTCTGAAGCACCTCTGAAATCTAAAGGCCTGTTTATATATGAACTTATTAACTCCAGAAGCACAGTAAAGTAAAGGGGATGGAAGGACCTTGGATATGTTAACAATACACACTGAGTTCACACACTGAGAAGGTTCCCCCTAACCTTGGTATTCTCCAGGCTGAACAACTCTCTCAGCCTTCCTTCCTATGAAAGTTGCTCAGTATTTCTGGCTCCCCTCAGTAGTTCCATCTTTTTTTGGACTGGAGAAACAGTCCAAAACAGGACGAAGTGCTCCAGAGGTGGCCTCACAAGAGCTGAGTACAGGAGACGGATCCTATATCCCCGCTGCCAGTGCTCATCCTAATGCAACCTGCCCTCCTTACAGCTGTAAAGGGGAGTAACGGAGGATGGAGCGGAGTGAAGGCACCGCGGCCAAACTCTGTTGCACACCCTGTGCTGGGCCGCTGATAAGCCACACAGTGCCTGTGCAATGGGAGATATATGATAACATGTCTGGTGCTGAGCCAGCAAAGGTGACAAATCATTCATTTAGGATGAACTTTGCTTGAACTTTGCTCATTATAATGTGAAAACCACACCTCCATCCCAAAAGTTACCCGCCTCCGAGGTACGACCACCCCTCACTGAGCATGTGCTCTAGATTTTCGGTTGGCTGTGCCTTTAAATGAAAGCGAGAAACTTTTTCACCAGTCAGTAACAATATTAAGTATGACTCTAGTCACTCAAGCTCCACCTGAATGTAAAGAAAAGTATAAAAGTTGAACTAAGGATGAAAAGTTGGGGGGGAAGAAACCATTGTAACTCCTGGGTCAGTCAACAGGCTGAGTCCCCTTCCCTCCCCTCGGATTGAAACGCCACCTCGGGAGACTAAGAAGGGAGAGGGAAGATTACATCGCAAATTCGGGATCAGTCTGTGCACTGATCCCCCTTTCCTCCCCTAGAGTTGGGACACTGTCTGATGAGCCTCGAGACTTGAGAGCCCTCTCCCATCTCCTGGGGTGAGTGATCATTGCACATTTGTACATCAGAGCTAGTGAAAAACCCCATGCTCTAGCAGAGAATTTCTTGCACTGACATCCAAAACCTGCTTTGTAAATGTTGCATTTGAATAAGTCATACTGTTTGTGAACTCGACTACTTGTCTGGGGGGAGGTGGTCGGACCTACGGTCCGTGGACTGTTTGTGAATTCGATACTGATTTGATATCTCCTTCCCCCACCACCACCACTGCGGCTTTCAAACTGCAACATTTCAAATGTAGCAGTTACTAAAGTGAGGAATTTAGAACAGTTTAGAACAATGCTTTGTTAATGTTGAAACAGACTTGATTTAAAACAGAAATTGTTGTTCTGTATGCATAGTGTTGTGATAATGAGTGAGTTTCCATGTTTAAATGGTAGCTTAAATACCACCAGGTTGCACACAAAAGTTACCTTTTTTATTGTGATAGAATTATTCGTGATATCCTTTTAATATCTTCCTTCTGTATACCTTGTCCGCTTAGAAAAATTATCTCTTCCACATGGAATCAATGATTAACGTAATTTGTGTGTTTGTATGACCTTTATGGAGACAGGCTGGTGCTCTTAATCAAAAACATTCCAACATATTTATATTCACCACAGATTGCGTGAACTGAAGGCTATACATCTATATTGTACCTTTTCAGAGATACAGAACTATGGAAGAACATATTGCTTCCATAGCATCTCTGAGTGCCGTCAATACTCGAATCCTGGAATAGATTTAGATAAAACCCATTCAATATAAATAAATTTCATTAATCACAAATCTGTTTTTGCTTTGATTTTTGACAGATGAAGCAAGAGCAATTGGCACTAACATTGGTGTATTAATAGAGGGAACTTTCTCTTTAATTGATATAGCTTCATTTATACTAGGGTCTAATTGCCCCTTTGGAAATAATTTCTAGACAAACTCTTATCTGTCTGTTTCTGTACCTCCAAATTATACCTCCATATCTTTATCAAAACTTTTCCAGTTATTGCTTTGTCATCTCTTTCTAAGCTGTTCATTCCTTCAGCTTTCTACACTCTCCTCAATTTAGAATGTTTTTGTCCTATTCTCTACTTTATAGCACAAAATAATTTTTTTTATACCAGTACAGAATTGGTATGTGTCAGTTCAGATATGTTAATTAGATTATCAGAGAATCTACTACCTTGGCATTGCTGCTAACCAGAAGGTGTAGAGCTAGTAATTTTCTGCATTTGTTGATCTACCACAATTATGCAGACTTAAAGAATAAAGACATGAGATGACTAAGAAGTAAAACACAATGATTCCTGAAATGGGTCACTCAGTAGGTAGATATGTAGTACTTACAACTACATTCTCTATAGCTATTGCAGAAAAGCACTGTAAATTGAGAATTTACACTTAAATAAATTTAGCAAGTTAATATAAGTGTCTTCAGAGGCTTTTCCCCTCTCTTGTACATATTAGTGACTGTTAATGCAGTTCTTCTATTGCTGTTTGAAGGGGGGCAAATTTGGTAAGAAATGAATCCCCTTGTGCTCTAGCCGATCCTCAGGGGTGAGAGCGACGAGGGACGGCTGGATTCATCTCTTCCTAGGGGGACCCAACACAGGCCCCACTCTGGCAGCACCAGATTCATGAACAGTCTGTCAACTATTGTCGACACGGGGGTCTCGGACACCACTCACACGATCAATGTGATCAAGCGGTGCCAGTTTATTCAGGGTTCCAATCGCGCTTATATGCAAGATTTCCCCGTACACGCGAGCGCTTCTTTACAACGATTGGTCAAGACCCCACGTTCTGGTGACTAACTATACAGTGTGATAGGCTAACTAACAGAGGCTAACTGACAGTGCCCATGTGTCCTCACATTTAATGACCATCCCCCTCTACCTGTTTGTCTTCAATTCTTTGACTCCTTATCTGATTGCTCCTTATCTTCTATTCAACAGTCTTTTCATCCTTTTAGCTAGGTCCGGCACCCTGGTGCTCCTCTGGCGCCCATCTGCCCTTTTGTCTAGGCCCAACACCTATCTGCCCTTTTATCTAGGTTTGGC